AATCAATTCAGACTATACAAGTGAGGGAGAAATGAAAAGGGAAGGGAGAAATGCTGAAAAATGAAAGGTAAGTAAGAAAAAATAGGGAATGAAGTATTTCTAGTCTAACAAAATCCTTAGGGGGGAAAACATTAAAATTCCTTCATATAAATGTACTAAGTACATTATTTTCTCACTTGAATTACATCTAAGTCATGCAGCAGACTTCACTATCTCTGAACACATTGTCAGAATAAACCTTGAACAAGCTGTCAGACCCTGACCAAGGACTTCCCCTTCCCCCATGACTTACTGAAATCCTGCCCCGCCCCATGTTGAAACTCCAGCCCCTTCCCCTCATCACCTTTGCCTAACTCAGTGACCTGTTATCACCTGCATCCTGAAAAGCTGCATCATGGTAGCCTCTGGTAGGCAGGGCAGGGCAGTTTCAAAAGATAAAATGTCCTTGTCTGGACAAACAATTCTAGGAGGTAGACTGTACGTAGCTACCTGAAACTGCACTTAACTTCCCATTCCCAACTCCCCTATATAAACTCCCTCTGCAGAAGACCACCCTGTACACACATTCAGGTGTGTCCTTCCCTGCTTGAGACAGTCCTTTCTGCTGAGGTCAGACTGGTCTCTTTCTACCTTCTGTCTCTTTAAGCTGCCCTGGAAGTCTAACATATGTTATCTATGATTTTTTAAAACAGAAGCATGAACATCTGAAATAGGCATTCTTAAAAAAAAATGTTGAGATAAAAAGACTCATGAAAGAACAAATGTAGCATATATATGATGCTTATGGGAAAATTAGGGTTAGCATGAGCCCTGGCCATGTACATGAAGTGCAGGTTAGATATCACTCTTTTTAAACTACTATTTCCTGCAGTATCAACTCCAGATCTGGGAAATTCAAATTTGACCCTCCCAAATATTAGTTTGATGTCTTAAGCAAGTGTAATGTCAATGAGATTCAACTGTTGTTTCTTTATCATTTTGTTAGAGACCAGGTCTCATCATGTTGCCCTGGCTGGTCTGGAACTCACAATCTTCCCACATTAGTTTCCCAGTAAAAGGATTACGTGTGAGCACTGATACTGGCTACTTCCTTTATCTCCGAAATAGAGATGACAGAGACCTTACCAGGATTATTATAGGAATAGTGCTTGCTAAGGTACCTAGACTAAAGAGGTACCTTCAACAGGCATGGGAATAGTAGAATGATGACAATGAGATTAAAAAAAAAAATGGAAGCATCTCTTTTATTACATCTAAGAAACAGTAACTACAAGAAACAGCACCTAACTTTACAGAGAACACAATGTATAAGACAACATTCCTCAAAGTGACTTCTACAGGCTTCTAGCACCACTCTGTAAGTATTGGTGTGTGCAGGAATAAAATTCATTGATTAAATATTCTAAGTGTGGGAACATGCATCTGCCATCACTCATCATTCTCATTAGATCTATGCTGCCTAACATTATAAAGGTTTAAAAATGCTTTAATGAGAAAGTTTTTAACTCTTTTGCATATAAATTATATCCTAGGTCCAGGTTTTCAGTTTTTGTCGGGCAATAGAATTTAGTGATAATAGAGTTGATCCCACATGAACAGTTCCTGTTTGTCTTACTGATAGTCCTGAGATGTAGCTACTAATTTCATAATTATTTAACTTGGCTTTCCAATAGTTTGATAAAAACTGGAGTTAATAAAGAAGATGAAAATTTCAGGTCACTTGTAAAGTGCATACATACATATAAAGCCTGTAGTACCTGATCATTTGTGCTGGTTAGTTCTTTTCAACTTGACACAAAACTAGACATACTCTCAACTGAGGAACTGCATATTATCAGAGTGGTCTGTGGGCATGTCAGGTAGGCATTTTCTTGAATACTGATTGATATGGCAGAGTGCAGACCATTGTGGGCAATGCCACTCATAGGCAGCTGGTCCTAGGCTGAATAAAAAACTAAGCTGAGCAAGCCATATATGTCCTACCCTAGCTTCCCTCAATGATGAACCATGATTGGCACATGTAAGCCAAATAAATCCTTTTCTCCCCAAGTCAGTCTCAGTTATTGTGTTTATCATAGTAATAGAAAACAGTGAGTAGTACCAGGAGAACAGTATTTCTGTGATAGACCTGACCATTGTTTTGGGAGAACTGTGGTGAAAACTGGGACCTAGGGCTGGAAAAGCCTTTGATTGCTTAGAACTTAACAAGCTGTTCTCTTAACAACCTGGAAGAGAAGAATATCATGGGAAACACACACAATGGAGGCCTAGCATGTGAAGGGAAGTTTGAGAGTCAAAGAATTTATCAGGGCTGTTCCTATGATAATTTTATATTAAGAATCTGTGGTTTCTAGTTGCTGAGGTTGAGGAATCATCAGTGATTTCTAAAAGACCAGCATCACTGGTTTAATAAGACACACAAAACTAGTTAGCAGAGGTTGAAAATCAACTGTGATTAATAAGAGACTAGCAATGTTGAGGTAAAATTTTTTGACAACTATTTCCTCTGAGTGAACATAATGAAGATGTGGTCCCAGGCACGGCTGCATCTCAAGACGGCAGATGAAACTGGCAACGTGACAGTCTCCCCATTTTTGTTTGTTTTTTGTTTTGTTTTTCTGGGAACAGAGTGACTTATACTTATTTTCAAAACTTGGGTGCTCTGGAGCAGGGTAACCCATAACAATTTTTAGAAACCAGACAGTTGTTGAAGCTAATAGAAACTAGTAATGATAACAATTTGCAGAGACTGGTCATCATGACCGACCATTTCATGTGTCCTTTGTCCCAGAGCTGTGTGTGTAGCCAGAGCTGGTGGGTATTAGGCTAGGCTTGAGTTGGGGGTCTTTCAATGGCTTGTGGTAAGAAGTCTAACAACAGGGACCAGTCATCACAGATCACAGGCTTCTTTGTTTTGTTTTGTTTTGTTTTTGTTTTTTAATTTTTGTTTTTGAGGCTCTGTTTCTCTGTGTAGTAGTGTTGGCTGTGTTTGTTTGACCAGGCTGGCCTCAGACTCACTGAGAAACACCTAGCTCTGCCTCTCTGTGTGAGTGTGCAAGTGAGTGTTCGAGCAAGCGAGCCAGTGCTGGGATTTGGTAACTGGTTTTTGAAGGCACAAAATTTCAGGGCTGAAGAGGTCATGTAGACAAGCTGAAGCCTGGCACCTTGTGGTAGCCTGGGAATCCCTGAGCGAACATGAGAAGCCATTGGTGAAGATGTAGCCTCTATTGCAGTGGAGACTCCAGAATATTGGGGGATGCCAATACTGTGGGATAACCAACCACTAAGGACAGTAGTATGGGTGGAGTGCAGCCAGCTTGAGCCTATGACACAAAGTGTGTGTTTCGTAGATGGCAGAGCTAAGAGGCTGAGCTGCCCAAGCCTTTTGGTACTTAGACCATAAGTGAGTCCCAGACATTGAGCACTGAGCCATTTATACTATTGAATTTAGGATTTTACTTTGATTTGGTTATAACTGTAACAGTTCTTCCCTTTTGGAAATAAGAAAGTATATAACTTGTTATTTATTTTTTAATATTTATTTTTATTATTTAAATTATGTGTATGGATGTGGAGAGTATGTCCACATGAATGCAAGTACCCAAGAGGTCAGTGGTATAAGGATCACCCTGGAGCTGGGGTTATAGGAAGTTGTAAGCCATCTGATGTAGGTGCTAGGAATTGAACTCAGGAAGAACAGTATATGCTCTTAACAACTGAGCCATCTCTTTAGCCCCTTGTTTTGTTTTTAGAGAAGCACACAGTTAAGAGATTTTGGATTTTTAAGAACTTGGGCTTTTAAATTGCAGAAATTTTTAAAAGACTATGGAACTTTTAAAAGTTAGATTGTCTCATACTGTGATGTTAACATTAACATAATACATTAGGAACTAGTAAAAAAGGAATGGTTATGGTTTAATAATGATGTATTTGTATATCAAGTTGGCAATGGATCAGTTGTGCTGCTTTTCATTAATTTGACATTAGACATATCTGAGAAGAATCTAAGTTGAGGAACTGCCTCTAGCATATTGGCCTACAGGCATGGCTGGGAGCATTTTCTTGATTAATGGCTGATGTGAGGGAGCCCAGACTATGGTGGGTAGTACCACTGTTATAAGGCACATTGGTAAGAATTACAATACTCCCTCCAAATTGAAATGTTTGCTCTAGGAAGGAAGGGGAGGATCATGAGCCTCAGGAAGTAAACAAAAAGACACATGTCAGGGAGAACAGGAGCTTATAATCTGATTCTTCAGGTCCCCTACCTGGCAGTGAAAAAAAGAAGTAAACAATTACTGGGGGCAAAGGGGAGACTCTGGCCAGCTAAATGGCTGAAATAGAAATTCAGACCCTCAAGCCAGCTATCAGCTGCATAGAGAATGAAGCTTTCAGCTTTGGGGAGTTGCTATCCACATTGGAGTAGGCTTTCTGGTGCTGCGGCTGCTTTTACATTATCCTTGCTCCTTGTAAGTAACCCTTTATCCACAGTCCTATTAGGAACCCCAATAAAAAATGCATTGGCTCACCAAACTGGACATTGGAGCAACCATTACTTTGGTCTGTCCTGGCTCCTCTTCTGGGATGAATAGACATGCACTGCATGTCCCCAGGAAAAGTCTGTGAAACATTAGCCACCCCTGGGCAGCTAAAAAAAGCACTCTGAGCAAGCAAGTCACAGGCAAGCCAGGAAGCAGCTTTCCTCTATGGTTCCTGCTCTGGCTTCCCTCAGTGACAGATTGGGACTGGGACATGCAAGCCAAATAAATCCTTTTCTCCCTAAGTTGCTTTCAGTTGTGTTTATCACAGCAACAAAAAGAAAAGGACAATATTTAAACCAATGCTTTTGTACTGTGACTAAAAGTAAACAATTCTAAGTATAAAGAACTGATCTTAATCTTTAATTCAACTTGCAATTTCTTATATTGTCATAAATCTGGCCCTGCCAATACATATTTCTGTGAGAGTACACATAAACACACTGTGTTATTTTTACTTACCTAATATTTTCACAGCATAGTGAGGACTTTCTAAAACGATTCCTTCTTCTGTGTCAAATATAGGGTTATCTATTCCAGTCTTTGGAGGAATTTGAGCTAGTTTCTTAAGTCTCATGGAAGAATTTAGGTCAAGTTCTTGCTTCTTCCCTTCTTCCTCACGCCTACGTCTCATATCCTCCTGTTGTTGTCGAATACGCTCCAATTGTGCACTTCTTCGCACTGGCATCATCCTGGTGCCCAAATCTCCAGGGCAGTCAACAGCCATCTCTCGGTGCTTCTGATGTTCCTCTGGTGATGCAAGATCAAGATTTTTTATTCCGGTGGCTGATTCCTCTGTTACATGCCCATTCATATACGATGTTGTCATGTTTATCTATAAAAACCTGTACCACTTTTTATATATCAATTTTTCCTATAATGCCAATTCTCTTAATTCTGTAGTATAAAATCCATGTTACTTCAAAGAAAAAAATAACTTCTCATATCACATAATAATGCTATGAAAATGTATCCATGAGGAAAATCTAAGGGGAAAGATGGAAGGAAAAGTATAAGAATTACAATATAAAAACAACTTTATATAGCCCATTTCCCATTTCTATACAATATAGCAAATATCTAATAAGTTCTTAATATAGTTACAATGCAGATTAAGGCCATTCCCTTTACTTTACGGATAATTTTTTAAAGAGTTGTGTCTCAAGAATATGAAACATACCATTCAACTTACAGGTTAAGAAAATTGATTCACTATAAAGTTTAGCAGAGTGAGAAAGGAAAAGGGTTTGGCTACTAATTTTAAAATTAGGTATGAAGAGATATTTCAACAATCACTTTAAACATCTCAATTTTATGCTTAATTAATACACACAGGATTAGTTAACTGTGTGAACACCTGATTACAATTTGGTGCATGGTACAAGCCATGTTAATGGCTAACTTGAAATACATAAAGTACTTTTAGGTAAAATTCATTTTATAGGGAGTTTTGCAATAAAGATGATGCTCAAAAAAATCAATGAAACTATCTAAGGACAAAACTACATAGGGTGAGAAAAGGGCTATGTAGAACATCAGTCTTTATAACTGGTGATATTTTACAATGAAAATTAAGATTAACTTTATAAGGACTCATTTAGGGAAAATGGCAGTTTCTGTACCATTACAAAAACAAAGACTGTAACAAAAGGAGCACAGAACTGAATGTTCATTTTGGCTCTACTATATTTCCCAGCTTGTTAAAGACAGTCAGTCTCCCTCTGAACCTCAGAGTCACTTAGAAAATTTACTCATAGAACTTTATTTAGTTTTATAAAAGATAATGCATACAAGTTACAAAATAAATATGTGCATATTAGTATTAATTTAATACTATTAATACTATTAGTATTAAGTAATACTAATTATCAATTACTAATTAATAATAGTTAATCACTAATTACTAATTAATTAGTATTAATACTAATGTAATTAGTATTAATTTAATAAATGTGTACATTTGATTCTATCTTAAGAGTCCTCCAACATAAATTAAACTAGAAAAATATTTTATTCAATGGCACTAGCTTTTCATCAAGCTACTTAGGCATAAATACACAGGCTGGTTATGTGTGCAGACCCACACATTAAATTTAATTAGCTTCTTCTTCCTAGGCTTTAAAAATATTGACAATAATGAGCCTACTACCTCCTTGAATTGAGCATCATTTCAGTAAATATGTTTAGAGTACTGACTGAGTGAAATTCATGTTTTTAGACAGTATTCCTAATTCTACTCAATCTTCTTTCAAATGTCATTACAGCGAAACAGGGAGAAAAGACAAACTACTTAATACAAATAAATACCTACTGAGGCTCTAGAAGAACCACTAAGATCAAAAATCAGGAAAATAGATACAAATTACATGCACCACTAAGACTGTATTTTTGTAAGAATGTCAGATTATCCTCCATCCAAACTTTAAGTCTCTTTACTTATAAGCACGTGGCCTATATATAAGCACCATATTTCCATTATGTTGCCTCTGTTCCATAAAAATTAGAGCTATTAAATTTATAGTAGGTGATCCTTAAGCTTTCTGTGTTAATTATAAAAAGATATAAGCTAGAGAGTTTATTTAATGTTTTCATTATAAGTAAGTAGAAATTTGCATAGGAGTTACTATACTGCTATGGTTAATTTTAATTTAAAAAGCCTTGGAGTTTACACATTTCCAAAATCGAACTCTTAATTTTTTAATTTGTTATTATTGGATATTTAAAAAAATGTATGCATATTCACTATATTGAATTATGAGAGAAAATTATAAATCATACATTGGATCAGGCTTCTCCTCGTTAGACCATTACCACACTGTCTACATGGATCTAGTCTTTATTCTCAGAAGGTATCTACAACTAGCATTAATCCACTCATCAATCTATTTTGGCTATCTCTACTAAGTGTTCTGTTCAGTGAGAGAGAAAAAAAAATTAAATGCTTATTTTTCTCCAGTTTTCCTCATCAGATTCCAAATGTATTAGGTTATGTCTCATTTTTACATCTCCAGTACTTAACATGATACATGTGATGGAGAAAATGTTCAAGAAATATCTGTTCAACTCAACTCAAGGATCATAAGTTCAAAGAGGATGCAGACATCTGAAACAGAGTAACCAGAAACAAGGAAAATACAAGGATACAGTTCTTCAAGCTTCATTTTGAAGTACAACTATCCATACAGAAGTAGAGTCTGTTGTAGATAAATGATAGAGATGGAGAAAACAAAAACTCAATGCCAAGAAACAACCACTTGTATCAAAGCTGGGAAACAAAGCAGGTTATTAGGGAAAGTTTCTCATATAATCTTAAGCTTTAGGTAGAGAGAGATGGGAAAGACAGACTTCACATGCATGAATATGTCCACTGCCTACCTAGATTCTAACCCCTCTCCTCCTGTTCATCTTTCCTTCTCTTTTCTAGCATGAAATGCCCTTTGACCAGCAGCTGGAAAGTCTCATTTTAAGTGATCAACATTCCTCTGACATTTTAAGAGGCTGGACTATGTTTCCATAGAAACAGCTTTGTCAGCTAATACAGGAGTCAGGCCAAAAATAGTGAAAAGAACTTACATTATCCAAACTGGAAAACCTTGTCTTCTATTCTTGTTTCTCTACTCTGTTTTTTTCCCCAAAAAAATTCAGGTTAGCTTTCTTATTCTGCAAAACAATAAAAGGAGATAATTAACTAAGTACAGAAGTATGCAACTAACCAAGTGTTACACAGTGTTTTGTGGGAAAGTGAAAAAAAAGGGGGGGGGGTAATTCAGAATGATATAACATTCTTTTTTCAAATAGATTTTTAATAAAGTTATAGTTATATACATATATATGTAAATTATTGTACACAACTATCATCCCAGTCACTAACAGACATCAATTAAAATCAATGTTGTTATATATTAATGTTACTAAAAATTTTAAGTGGTTCAGTCATGTTAATCATGGCAATTATCAGTCAGGCTGTGGTTGTATACTCCTTTAATCCCAGCACAGGCATATCTCTTCAAGGAGTTCAAGGCCAGGCTAGGCTGGTCTACAGAGCAAGTTCCAGGACAGCCAGGGCTGTTACAGAGAAATCATGTCTTGGAAAAAAAAAATGGCAATATCTTTTTTTGTTTGTTTGTTTTTCAAGACAGGGTTTCTCTGTGTAACAGCCTTGGGCCTAGCCAAATTAATGAGCTCGTTTCAAAAAATAGGGTGGAGAGGGACTGAGGAACTTACACATGCACATGTATATGTGTATATCCACACACCAAAAGAAAAAAAAAAACAAGCTAGTTATAAAAGCCCACATACTGTATGATTCCATTTATTGTATGGAACTGGTAAGACAGAAAGCAAAAAAGTTTCTTAGGACTTAGGTGGGAAGGTGGGCAAGAGAATTGTAATTGAGGTGTGTAGGTTTCTTCAGGGAATGATAAAAATGATTGATGGTGGTGGTCATATAGTTCTGAATTACTAAATGTTAATGAACTATACATGTGAATTGGGTGAGCTGTTGGCATGTAATGACATAAAACAATGAAGCACAATGAAATAACACTAAAAACATTGCATATATTGGTTGTCAACCTGACACACCTGGAAAGGGGGAGCCTCAACTGAGAACTGATTCCATCTGACCGGTCTCAGGGCATGCTAGTGGGTCATTTACTTAATTGCTAGTGATGTAGGAAGTCCCAGCCATAGAGGGATATAGCCCAGTCTAGAATTCTTGCTTAGTATGCATGAGATCCTGTGTTCAAATGGCAGTCTACCCCCACATATACACCTAAAAAAATAAATACATAAAAATAAAAAGGAGATACCATTGTTACGTGTGCATTATACCTCAACTGTATGTGTGTGGGGGTGTGGGGGTGTGGGGTGGTGTGACACAGACTCATACAGCTTAGGCTGGCCCATCTTAGGATGCAGCTGATGATGACCTTGAACTCCTGATCATCTCATCTCTACTCTCAAGTGCTGGGTTTATAGGTATGTGCAATGTGCTGGAGAAACAGATTTTTAAAAGACCACTTCAAATTCCAAAAATAAGACTATATTCACATCATATAAAGACCCTATTTACTTGCTGAGAAAGTTTAAAGGGTACAACTTTAAACAAAAATAAGTCCACAATTCAGCTGGAAAAAAAGTTCTTTGTTTGCTTTGAGACAGGATTACATGCAGCCTAGACTGGTCTAGAATCCGACTTGTGACTGAAGCAGACCTGCAACTGCTGATCCTCCTACTCCCTTGCACTATGACTATAGACATGCATTACTATTCCTGGCTGGAAAACAAGTTCATAAATTACTAAAGTTAAGGAACTGTTGTTGTTGTTGTTTTGTAGATCTATTTTTTTGTTTTGTTTTGTTTTGTTTTTTTGAGACAGGATTTCTCTATGTAGCTGTGGAGCCTATCCTGGCACTCTCTCTGGAGACCAAGCTGGCCTCGAACTCACAGAGATCCACCTGCCTCTGCCTCCCGAGTGCTGGGATTAAAGGTGTGCGCCACCAATGCCTGGCCAAAAGAATACTTGCAGTAAATTGAACTCGATTAGCTCAATACTATACTATTAAAATTAAAAGACCATGTACAAATAGCCTGGCTTTACTTTTTAGTAGAACACACAGGCAAGTCTTGTAATGTCATTTTTAAAATCTTACACAGTTTAGGTTTCAGATAAGAGTACATTTACTTGTCATCCACATAATTGCATTCCAAAAGAATTATTGCTATTTGCACATCATTAAAGCTAATTATGTCAAAACACAACGCCAGATATGTTTATAAGGGGTGGAAGCCAAATTCCATTAAAAAAATATTTATCTGGGCACCATGGTGCACGTCTGTAACTCTAGTACTTGGAAT